TGAAGGTGTCGTCAATGTTGTGGCAATATAAATCAAGTTTCTTAATAATCTCATTAAGAGGTCCATTTTCTAGCTTTGCTAGAAAGAGATCGGATAAAATCGGGCCTAAAGGTGAGCCCATGGCTATCTCGTCTATTTCTCTATAATAAGTGTTGTTGAAGATTACTTTTCCTAGTCTATTTACCCACGTTTGACCTTCTATTCCCAACGTTTAATCATTGATAAGTGTTGTGACTTTAAGTTGTTGATCGTTTTTTACCCTGTGCTAATTGTTGTGTCCTTGACTGAAAAACTAGAGAGTAGCGTATTTATCGACCGATTCAATGACACCTAAACACGTACGAACGTAATGGACGACCTAGAGTTACGATTGTTCCCGATTCCCTGTCTATCCAAGCCAGTTGAGTCCAGAACACAAATTTCAGCCTCTGAGTTATGAATCATTGTATTTCAGACATACTCTATTTATATACTAACCAAACATACCACATCGTACCATAAAAATAGAAAACAACATTTTGTACAATATTCAACAAGTGGACAGATATCGACCAGTAGGAAATGTCCATTTAAAGTCCAAGGACACCATTGGACTTAACATGATAATTATTGGTCTATCCTTCGCATCCACAACAATAAGACTTCTGTTATCCTATTTTATTATTCTTACCACTATCAGTACACCCGCTTTCCTACCTTCAACTTGTATTTTTACTTACTATGTGTGGTGATGTATTCTATTTCATTGTGATTATTGACCCATATTGTCGCGATTAGTTTAACATTTTCGTATAAATATTCATGTATATTAGAATAAAGCCTGATGACGATCTAATTGAAAACAATATTGTTCGCTTATATGTATTGTGTCATTCAAATGCATTATTACACAATGATGGATGATGTGTAGTAGTGGAATCCAGGAATCGTGTTTCGTCGTATTTGTGACTGAACAGCTGAATGTACATGCATCCCAGTGTTGATGTTGATTGTGAGACGTGAACCCACCGCTGGTCGTTTCAATCGCTTCATCGCATCATCCATTTAGCTACTGAGTCTTTGTATGTTCAGAATCATCATCATCATTATCATAATCATCATCACCTTCTTCTTCTTCTGCTTCTTCTCATCCTCCTTCCTCTAATCCATATAATTTCATATCGACATTCTGTCTATGTTGCATATTCTCACTTCATTTTAGCTAATTAATTAATTCATTCATTCATTCATTCATTCGTCCAATAAATCACCTACCCTTGAATTAAAATTTAACTAAATAATGAAGTTCAATCAACGTCATGTCATATTAACTAATTTCCAAGCAAAATTATTTAGGTCATAAAGATCATCGCTAATTGTGTAGGCAATTAGAACCACATTTCAATATCACATTCTTTATGATTATTCAATTGAATAAGCCAATTTATTTGACCACATAACAACAACTTGTATACATTGTTGATAGTTTTGTTGGAGTATACTCTAATTTATGAAGTATCGTTTGTTTTGTAATTGTGGTTTCTCATTGATGGTGCTTTTGTCAATGGTGAATCGGTAGTCGGATACATCAAGATGGTTTCCGAGAAGTGACCCTTATCATATGACATATGGTGATTGCCATGATAAAACTGAGGCCAAAAGAGTATTGTATAACTATAGAAACTGCATTACACGGGTTCAATACGGTCTTCCTTCGACATACCGACAAACTCAACGAATTCAACAGAACTCTCAACAACAGTTTTCAATCCTTACAGGATCGACTGAAATTAAAAGAAACTACTATGTATCACAACTGGATAGGTATCAAAAACACTAAATATAAAGTTTCACGAAGTTCCGGGCCTCCACATGCATCATCACAAGGAATGGATCTCTATGGAAACTATGGGCAAGATTCAAGAAAGAAAGAAAGAAAAAGAAGACAGCAATTAACAACAGCTTAACAAGAACAGAGACAGTCAAGGCACAAGCCGAATACACCGAAACTAATAAGCAAGTGATGATAGGTATTAAAGCCGACAAGTAGAAATATGTGGAAGAGCTAGCAACGAGAGCAGACAAAGCTGCATGAGAAGAAAATGCAACACAGCTATATGACACATAGAAGAAACTGGTAGGGAATATGGTAAACCAGACAGACCAAACAGGAAAAAGAAAGGCAAGCTAATCAGTGAGATTCACGAACAGAGGAACAAATGCGTAAATCCATCGGACATCGAAGCAGCATACACAGACATTCTTATAGATGTTACTCCAACAACGGTCGGAGAAATCAGGATGGTCGTCTGATAAATCAAGGGCGGGATGGCACTGGGATCTGACAATATACCAGCTGAATCTCTGGAGTCAGACATAGTAGTAACTGCAATATGCTCCATGTTCTATTAAGGAAGAGTTTTGAGGAAGAAAATGTGCCGATGAACTGGAAATGAGAACATCTCATCAAAATACCACAGAAAAGAGATCTGAACAAATGTGAGATCTTCAACAATCCTAAAAGATGTACAGGCATTTACAAACAGCTATCCGAGCAAGATACTCCAGATCTGTTGACCATATAACATCACTAACAATATTCTCTAAAAGAGAACAAACAGCTTCAAGAGGAACAAGAAATGAGGTTTATTGGTTGACTGTGGACAGGATGGCATACGATGGGGTAGGATGGCATATGTCAACGTTGTGGAAATTCATAAATCGCATCACGAGGCATACTCTCACTAGAAATTTTGAAGGGAAAAGGAAAGGATTCAGACGAATGAACAAACGATCATTGGAATTGAAGACAGACAGTGAAAGGATAAACACCACTTGGCAACAAATGGAAAGTGGAATACAAGACAGAGTAGACCTGAGATTTATAGTCGGTGGTCTATACCTCAACATGTATAATTTAGTACACTCCACTTGATCTGTAGTTAGCTTATCTATCTTCATAACTCAGTGGTCAATACATGATGCTTGAATCATGAAACCACTAATTTCGTGCAATTTCGTCCTCTGTGCTGACTGTTCCAATATTGTAGCTCCCGTCCTCTCACTACAGGACACCATTATCACATATTTCCGATAGGGCAAACCGCTCATTTCTTTACACACACATATTCAGAACATTGTTTGAAAACAATCGGAAAAAACAAACAACTCAATTCTCTCAACATTATAAACATGTTCCTCTGGTGATTGCCAGCTAGCAGACAAACCAGCTAAACCAAATCAACTTGCAAATTCACCCTAACAATCCAACATCTAAATACCTCACACATGATATTTGCAAATTCATTGTTTGTTTCCTCCTGTTCATTAGTCAATTTAATCATCAAATTAAAGGTGACCAAAGTTCGTTCACTCGATCGACCAATCAAGTTTCAACATTCAACTATTATAACCACAATCGATTTGATATAAATGAGTATCATGTTATTTTCTACCATAATGTAAACATCATGAATGATTAACATTTCTATATTCATAATCAAAACTACTTATTTATTTCATCAGTAGTAGTAGTTGTAATAGAAGCAGTAATTTGTGTATCAATCAGTATTTCATCACTTTTACTACTTTCAATGAAATCATTTGTAAAATGTAAGCAATCTGTAATTGGGTAATCCATTCTCCTATTTGACTTATTTAATTCCGTTATTCACTAGTGAGATGTAAGTCGATAATCATATACGATGAATGACGATATGTATATTTCAATAGTAATTAGAAACGATCTTACTATGGTCAGATCCTGGGCAACTAAAGACACTAGACTGCTTCTACGGATTTTATGTATCATTGTTTCGGTCGATAATTCACTGTTTTCTAGTTGGCGGTATCATTATGTCATATATTAATCGGACACAAACTCACAAATTATAACACGTTATAAAATCATTTTTGATCAATTAATTTCCTTCTATTTTTGTAGTGAAAGTATAACGCTTTATTCCACTGAACTTATATTTTTCACGCTTGTGTGTTTGTTTGCTGTTACAACAGTCAATACATATTCCCTAGATACTTGTAAAGACTTACAGAATTCTAATCCTGCACTCACTCTGATTAGTTAGCGGATAGAATTAATCGAATGTCCATGTATCTGGGTAGCTGCATAAGTGCTGGTGGTGGCGTGAGTGATGAGAACGATTCAGGTATGGTGGAAAACAGAGCGGCTTATGCCAATCTAATCCATCTTTGACGACTTCGTTATGTCAGTCTGGCTGTAAACGGTCGATTCTACAACGTGTTGGTGAGAGCGGTTCTGTTTTATGCTTGTGAATCCTTGCCTCTCCGAGTTGAGGATGTTAAACGACTATCTGTGTTTGATCATCGTTGTTTCCGAAGGATTACTGACATCCAGTTGTAACTCCATGTTAGTATTGTAGAGGTTTGACATCGTGTGTTCGGGTGCAGAGACGATAATGCAATTGGTGTCACAATCTCGAAACATCGACTTTGGTGGCTTGAACATCATCTACGGATGTCGTCCCAGAGAATTCCACGTCGTGCATTATTTGCCGACTCTGGGACTGGTTGGAAGAAGCGGAGAGGTGGTCAGTGTATGACATGGTGTAGTGTTATGAAAGAAAGCTGCAAAGGGCTGGCCTGCGTTGCTCCTTCACGACTCCTTGGTTGGGGTCTGAAAGATGGTGCGACACAGCGGCTAGAGACGTTGTCAGATATGGTTCAGAATAGAAGCCAGTGGCAATTCTGCTGTACAAAACAAAAAATACTTCATAAATGAGAGTATACTCCAACAAAACTATCAACAATGTATACAAGTTGTTGTTATGTGGTCAAATAAATTGGCTTATTCAATTGAATAATCATAAAGAATGTGATATTGAAATGTGGTTCTAATTGCCTACACAATTAGCGATGATCTTTATGACCTAAATAATTTTGCTTGGAAATTAGTTAATATGGCACGACGTTGAATAAACTTCATTATTTAGTTAAATTTTAATTCAAGGGTAGGTGATTTATTGGACGAAATAATTAATTAATTAATTAAAAGGAAGCGAGAATATGCAAAATAGAGCAAATGTAGATATGAAATAAGATGGTTTAGAAGAAGGAATATGCGAAGAAGAAGATAACGAAGAATTAGAAGAATTAGAAGAAGAAGAAAAAGAAGAAGAAGAAGAAGAAGAAGAAGAAGAAGATGATGATGATGATGATGATGATGATGATGATGATGATGATGATGATGATGATGATGATGATGATGATGATGATGATGATGATGATGATGATGATGATGATGATGATGATGATGATGATGATGATGATGATGATGATGATGATGATGATGATGATGATGATGATGATGATGATGATGATGATGATGATGATGATGATGATGATGATGATGATGATGATGATGATGATGATGATGATGATGATGATGATGATGATGATGATGATGATGATGATGATGATGATGATGATGATGATGATGATGATGATGATGATGATGATGATGATGATGATGATGATGATGATGATGATGATGATGATGATGATGATGATGATGATGATGATGATGATGATGATGATGATGATGATGATGATGATGATGATGATGATGATGATGATGATGATGATGATGATGATGATGATGATGATGATGATGATGATGATGATGATGATGATGATGATGATGATGATGATGATGATGATGATGATGATGATGATGATGATGATGATGATGATGATGATGATGATGATGATGATGATGATGATGATGATGATGAAGATGATGATGATGATGATGATGATGATGATGATGATGATGATGATGATGATGATGATGATGATGATGATGATGATGATGATGATGATGATGATGATGATGATGATGATGATGATGATGATGATGATGATGATGATGATGATGATGATGATGATGATGATGATGATGATGATGATGATGATGATGATGATGATGATGATGATGATGATGATGATGATGATGATGATGATGATGATGATGATGATGATGATGCATGTACATCCAGCTGTTCAGTCACAAATACGACGAAACACGATTCCTGGATTCCACTACTAGACATCATCCATCTTTTTGTTATAATGCATTTGAATGAAACCAATATTGAGGCAATCTGCATCGGATACACATTTGCTGTTAACAACGATGGGAATCTACAAGCAAACAATGCCATTTGAATTGAACTTTTTATTTGTGTAAATTATAGAACAGCAATACAGAAAATTTTCATGTTCACATTTGTTTTAATTCAACTAGTCCTAACAAAATTCGTAACTAAATTTACACACTGATTATTATGAAAAGGGAGTTTTTTGGATATTGTGGTAATTTTAATAATTGTGATCGTGAGTCAATTGAATCAAGACTGCCATGGAATATCTGAACGAAGTGGACGGCCATTTTGTCTTACTGTGGGACTCCTCAACAGTGCGTATTGTTGAGTCGGCTTTCGGAGAACTTCAACGGAGCTTCCAGCGGCCCAAAAAGAGCCGAAGCGTACTAGTCATTCAGAGCATGATGGAGCATTCTAGAGTTCCAACGTAGCGTGCTACTATTGGTCAGTAGCATAATATGTCGTTAAGGGATTGGCCGAGAGATGATGTTGATTTAATAAACGTTAACAACTATAAAGACTCATGTTTTCTGTACAAAAGTGAACATTGGACTAAAGTGTTTCTCCCACACATTTCGTCTTCTTTCTGGTGTTAGGTCGCTGTACAGTTGTAGCGTGCGAGTTATCAGAATAGCTCATGAACGAATATAGCGTTCAATCAGCAAGACTTAACACGTATTAACGATGTCGTCTCGCGCGAGACTGATAATCATTGTGAGGTAGTAACTCACTAATGACAATGGGGTATGTGTCGCTCAATTTGGTGGATTAGTTGAAGTTAGACATTAACATTAACATTAACAAACAGAAAGAGGTGGAAAATTACAAACAAATAAACTATGTGAAAATAAGGTTAACGAGAACAACAGTAGAATAAAATAAATAAATAATGATAATAGAAGTAATTTCAAAAACAAATTCATTAGTTAAGTTATAACTGGCCATGGAACGGATAGCTGGGTTACGAATTTCTTCTGTACACGTGAATTGGGGTTATATGTACGAAGTCCAATGGCTTCAGTTATATGTAGGAGGCGGGAACTAACTCCGTTGGGAAATGATGGAGGTATACGATAGATAACTCGAAATGATTTCGATTTATCTACAGCACGACCGCTATCAATGTGATGTGCCAAGATAGAACTGCGAATAGATTTTCTCTTACCCTTTATATACCAAGTTGGTAGATGTACACTCATTCGTTGGTTAAGTAGCCTGGTAGTACGCTCGATATAGTTATCTCCACAGGAGCAGCTGAATTTGCAAATGCACATTGAAGAGGCCAACTCAGGTAAATTATCCTGCGTTCGAGTAGACATCGCTAGTCGACAAGAGAAGGTCAAAGCAAGATTTGCTGCGTAGAATGTCCTGGTGATTACTTTAGTTAATCTATATTTCAGAGTATCACTAGCCACATCCCCGTTGAATTGTACTTTCATGTATAAAGGTTTCTTATGACCAGTCGAAATCTCCGACTTCTTTATTACGTCATACATGTACTTCTTAATGAAAGCATTGGAGTAGCCGATCTCGGTCAGTGAGTTGTTGATAAATTCTAGCTCCTGACTAACAGTATCTACTGTACATATCTTTTTTCCTCTGCTAGTGAGACATCTGACCAAATTTCTCTTGTAGGGGATAGGTGTGAAACTGCAGAAATGAGTATATTGGCATGCAGAGAGGTTTCTTCTATACACGCTTCTACTTAATATGCCGTCACTTCGTCTGCTTAGTGTGACGTCAAGGGAGTTCAGCTTATCGTCATACTCGCTTTCACCAGTGAAAGTGATCGCTGGGTGAACATTGCTGTATTTTTCTAGGAGTTCCTCCTTACTGGTGTTTTGATCTACGATAATGAAGGTGTCGTCAATGTAGTGGCAATATAAATCAAGTTTCTTAATAATCTCATTAAGAGGTCCATTTTCTAGCTTTGCTAGAAAGAGATCGGATAAAATCGGGCCTAAAGGTGAGCCCATGGCTATCTCGTCTATTTCTCTATAATAAGTGTTGTTGAAGATTACTTTTCCTAGTCTATTTACCCACGTTTGACCTTCTATTCCCAACGTTTAATCATTGATAAGTGTTGTGACTTTAAGTTGTTGATCGTTTTTTACCCTGTGCTAATTGTTGTGTCCTTGACTGAAAAACTAGAGAGTAGCGTATTTATCGACCGATTCAATGACACCTAAACACGTACGAACGTAATGGACGACCTAGAGTTACGATTGTTCCCGATTCCCTGTCTATCCAAGCCAGTTGAGTCCAGAACACAAATTTCAGCCTCTGAGTTATGAATCATTGTATTTCAGACATACTCTATTTATATACTAACCAAACATACCACATCGTACCATAAAAATAGAAAACAACATTTTGTACAATATTCAACAAGTGGACAGATATCGACCAGTAGGAAATGTCCATTTAAAGTCCAAGGACACCATTGGACTTAACATGATAATTATTGGTCTATCCTTCGCATCCACAACAATAAGACTTCTGTTATCCTATTTTATTATTCTTACCACTATCAGTACACCCGCTTTCCTACCTTCAACTTGTATTTTTACTTACTATGTGTGGTGATGTATTCTATTTCATTGTGATTATTGACCCATATTGTCGCGATTAGTTTAACATTTTCGTATAAATATTCATGTATATTAGAATAAAACCTGATGACGATCTAATTGAAAACAATATTGTTCGCTTATATGTATTGTGTCATTCAAATGCATTATTACACAATGATGGATGATGTGTAGTAGTGGAATCCAGGAATCGTGTTTCGTCGTATTTGTGACTGAACAGCTGAATGTACATGCATCCCAGTGTTGATGTTGATTGTGAGACGTGAACCCACCGCTGGTCGTTTCAATCGCTTCATCGCATCATCCATTTAGCTACTGAGTCTTTGTATGTTCAGAATCATCATCATCATTATCATAATCATCATCACCTTCTTCTTCTTCTGCTTCTTCTCATCCTCCTTCCTCTAATCCATATAATTTCATATCGACATTCTGTCTATGTTGCATATTCTCACTTCATTTTAGCTAATTAATTAATTAATTCATTCATTCATTCATTCATTCGTCCAATAAATCACCTACCCTTGAATTAAAATTTAACTAAATAATGAAGTTCAATCAACGTCATGTCATATTAACTAATTTCCAAGCAAAATTATTTAGGTCATAAAGATCATCGCTAATTGTGTAGGCAATTAGAACCACATTTCAATATCACATTCTTTATGATTATTCAATTGAATAAGCCAATTTATTTGACCACATAACAACAACTTGTATACATTGTTGATAGTTTTGTTGGAGTATACTTTACTAGCTCTAATATCCTTTGATATACAAGTTAAACCTCGAATAAACCTAGTAGTATACTAGTAACATATGGGAGCCGTACATGATACAGTAGATCAATCTACGCGCTCACTTAGCTCCTTACTGAACAGATGGCAGTCGATTCCATCATCGTCTTCATAGCAAATAAGTATGCATTTACTGAATATTATATATTTCTTTTGTTCTTTAAAAGTTAAGCAAATAACACTTAATAAAGCAGTAAAATGGTAGTACACAGCAGTTGTACATTGCGTGACCTCTGAAACTGCAATACAATTATCCGAAGTTATAATTCAAACAGCGGTAAGCTAAAATCTCAAGACTGTTATATATTACACATACCTCAAACTGCATGTTTGCTTCACCACAGATAGGTTTCAGAACAACGACAATGTTGAAAGTAGATCGATGTGGTTCCATATTAGTTCGCTTGGTTGGTGTTTGCAGTTCCTAGGAGTCAGTAATAAATACATCAAGAATGTTGTAGTTTGTTATCATTATGTTTGATCGATCGAAACATTGAGAGGTAGTCTATTTATTGTGGTCAGACTGATGACAGGAACATGTGGGCAATTACACGGGTCACGTTAATATACCACTGAAATTCCACTTACTACGTGGATTTGAAACATCATCTAACATGTGATGTCCCACATTTTATATCGACAAAAATATCTATCAACTAACCGTTGACTCGATTACTTCGAATATTTACTCTGGTCACCATGTTTTAATTTGCACACAACAAACAGAACTTCACATTATACTTTATGTGAACACAGAGTAAACGACCAAGACTGAAAATTTACTCATCATAAAGACACTCGCATTCCACTTTGATCAGATTTCAATAGTTTCTGCCCAATCAAACACAAAGAACTTCGGTTGGAAAACTGTAAGATTGTGTAGTAAAACTGTGTTCATCAAGAAAGATCGAAGACGAACTAAGTGTGGTTAGAAGTGTTTGTGAGATAATGGTTACCGAACAAACTGATTAATTAGAATGAGAGGAAATAAAGAAGGGAATGGAATAATCCAACGTAAATAATAAATGACTTAGTACGACTCAGCTTTGAAGTTGACTGAGTTTCTAGGATGGTAGAATCGAGAATCTTCAGTGTTGAAGAGAACACATCCAGCCTAAATTCAAGTCTTGTTAAATCAAACCAAATGTTAACGAAATACTAGAAAGAATAATAATAATAATAATTGATAGAAGTCTTGTTAACTCTTTTATTGTCCTGTCACTTCTGGTTTGTATTCAGCTGTTGTAGTTATTGTTGTTGTTAGAAGGGAACTACTATGACATTGATTTCATCTGTTCATTACTACAACAAGAATGTGATGACTTCAGTCGAACTACATGGTGGTACTACGTTAGTCAGTCGTTTTTCACTAAGTTCATAGTCTGTGCATTTCAACTATGAAAAACGTTCTGTTAACCGTTTCATGGTTAGCATATTTTAGTGAGTTAGTTTTCGACAGGTGAGGTCGTTAATCACATGCCCAACCCTCCTCCTTTATCCGTGTTTCAGACGGGTAGTAGTAGTAGTAGTAGTCTCAGAGAGGATCCTGTTGGACCCCCTA